GACAGTCTCTGGGGAAAGCAAAAGTTGCATCTGGGGATAAAACTCTCACTTGTCTGGACCAGGGACTCCTGGGATGTGGTCCCAGCACTGACACTCACTTCTAGTGTGACCTTGGGCAAGTCACACTGAAGAATCCCCCTCTGGCCCTCAGTGTGTTGTTTCGAAATGCAGGGGGTGGATAAATCAGGGGTATGGGGGACTTGAAGAAATATATGACATTGTGAATGTACAGTGGCTAATTGTGTCTGTGTCAATGTGTGTGACTATGTGTGAGCATGTGTGTATGAATGTGTGAGTGTGTGAAAGTGTGACTGTATGAGTGTGTGTGTGTCTGTATGGAATATATGCGTATGAGCATGTTTGTGTGTGAGTGGATGAGTGTGTATTTGTGTATAAGTATGTATGTGCATGTGTGTCTGTGTGTATGTGTATAAGTGTGAGCATGTCTGTGTGTGAGTGGATGTGTATGCCTGTGTATATGAGTGTGCATGTGTGTATGAGTATGTGTATCAATGTGTGTGTCTGTGTGTGTATGAGTGTGTGTGTGAGCATGTCTGTGTATGTGTGTGTTATGAGTGTGTGTGAACATGCCTTGTGTATGTTGTGTGTGTGTGAGCGTGCCTGTGTATATGAGTGTGCATGTCTGTGTGTCTTGTGTGAGCATGCCTGTGTGCCTGTGTCTTGTGTGTGAGCGTGCCTGTGTGTGTGAGCATGCCTATGTGTCTTGTGTGAATGCGAGCGTGACTGTGTATGAGTGTGTGTATGTCTTATGTGTGTGAGCATGGCTGTATGAGTGTGTCTTGTGTGAGTGTGAACGTGTCTGTGTATGAATGTGTATGTGTCTTGTGTGAGTGAGTGCGTCTGTGTGTATGTGTGTGTGTCTTGTGAGTGTGCCTGTGTGTATGAGTGTGTGTGTGCCTTTTGTGTGTGCCTTTTGTGTGTGTGCCTGTATGTGTGTGTGCATGTGTGTGTGAGCATACCTGTGTATATGAGTGTCTTGTGTGAGCGTGTCTGTGTGTATGAGTGTGTGTCTTATGTGTGTATGTGAGCACGCCTGTGTGTATGAGTGTGTCTTGAGTGTGTATGAGTGTGCCTATGTGTATGAGTGTGTGCCTTGCGTGTATGTGTGTGAGCATATCTGTGTATATGAGTGTCTTGTGTAAGCGTGTCTGTGTGTATGAGTGTGTGTGTCTTATGTGTGTATGTGAGCATGCCTGTGTGTATGAGTGTGTGTCTTGAGTGTGTGTGAGTGTGCCTGTGTGTATGAGTGTGTGTCTTGTGTGTGTGCGCCTGTGTATATGTGTGTGTGTCTTGTATGTGAGCATACCTGTGTATATGAGTGTGTGTCTTGTGTGACTGTGCTTGTATGTGTGTGAGTATGTGAGTGTATCTTGTGTATGTGTGTGTGTGTGTGTCTGTGTGTGCACCTTCTTCCTAGCAAGAGCACCCATAGGTTTCATCAGCTTCATACAGGTCAAAGGGACCTGTATCCTCAAAAGGCTCAGAAGCACTAAGATCCTTTTCAGCTCTGGGGTCTCTGATTCTACATAATGAGAGAGAGGAAGAGGTGGACATCCAACCCATGGGAGAGGGAGTCAGACCAAATCCCAGAACTTTCAAAAGTGGTACAGCCACAACAGGAATGCAGGGGAGGCTGCAGGACCAGGCCCCAGGAGAAATTCTAACCTCAGTGGGTCTCCAGGTTGAAGGAAGCAGAGCCCAGAAGAGATGACTGCAGAAACGGAAGAGGCAATAGCAGCCCCAAGTCTCCTCCCCACTGCTGCCACCCCATCCACAAGCACCCACTTGTTCTGAGATACAGCAGAGAGCAAGGAGGCACAACTGGCACCTGAGGTGCCTGCCAGGCCCCTTGGCATCCAGAAGACTTGGCAGGAGGGCCCAGGAAGGTGCCAAGCCCCAGCCTCTTGCCCCTGAGGCTGACATGTGGGACCACAGAAGGGCTCAGGGTGCAGGGCAGTTGTGGGACCTAGAAAGGCCATCTGGGAGGGGCAGGGCCCAGGCACTAAAATCCCAGAGCTGGACTTGGAAGCCTAAGAGCCAAGGCATGCACCTTCCTCGAAGCCAAGGGGAGGAGCGAGAGCCAAATGCCAGCCAAGGGAGAAAGAGGAATGGGCAATGGGGGCTGGGGGACAAGCCAGCCCAGAAGGAGGAGGATGACAGCCTGCTTGTCAGGAAGGAGGGAGCATGGCAGGGGAAGGGGGTGATGTGGCCTGGGTGGGAGAGGGTTGTGCTCAGGGGACAGGAGAACAGTGAGGCTGGGCATGGACACAGGCAGCAGGAGCTCAGGCTGTGGCTCAGGGAGAGACGCTGGGCCTGTGGCAGGAATGGGGGATTGTGTCCGCAGCAGGACCGACAGTAGGAGTGCCCTGGCAGGCAGCCCAGATGTCTGGGTAGCCACTGAGCCAGGGCTCCTGAGGGGATCAGCACCCAGGAGATGTTTATCCACCCCAAGAACGAGGACATCACCCCCCCCCTCTAGTGATGGGCGCAGGCTGCTCTTACTTAAGCCCGTAAAGGACAGAGTCCCAAGCAGCAGCAACCCCCACTGGAGGCAGAGCCAGGGCACTGCAGCTGGGATGGAGCTTGATCCCCACAGATAGAGGAGGGAGGGAGTCACAGGCAAGCTCCAGGCTCTCCCAAGAGGCCACTCAGAAACTAGCTCATCTGATGCAGACACTTGTCCCCATCCCTGTCCCTGCCACTGTCACACACCGGCACACACACACTCCCCTCCTTCTCCCCTTCATCACCCACCTCCAGTGCCCCTGGCTCCTCCCTCCATCTCAGCCCCATTGCCTGTCCCTGTCCCTGCCCACCCTCACATGGCCAATCAGGCACCCACCCTGTGTCAAAGCTGGCTGTGTGGGAGGTGGGGAGGCAGGAACACGGGGTGAAGCAAGGAGACCCAGCAACAGCGAGTCCTGAGGTCACAGGGACCTAGAGAGGAGTTAGCCCTCAACTCCTACTCCTGCTCTCCCAGAAGAAGCAATGCCACGCCTATACCAGGCCTAGTGGTTTCCTGGCAGACACCTCCTCCAGAACAGACACCTGCCCCCTGAGCCCAGGCCTGTCTCTATCACCAGGTCAGCTTCTCACTTGCAAGGCTCTGAGACTTACCCAGCACAGAGAAGGCAGGCGTGAGAGTCCAGCTGTCCCTGCCATCCTGGGGCAGTCCTTGCTCTGGTGGGGGTCCCCTCCCTCCTAACTCCTCCTCAATCAAAGGACACCAAAGAGCTGCCCCTTGGCCCAACTCAAGGAAGATTAACCCTTTCCCTACCTTACCCCAGCAGTCCAGGCCTGCCCCTCTTGGGTGGCTCCTAAACCAACCTCACCAAGCTATTTGCCCTTCTAGAGGTCAGGTCCTATATCACCCTCTTCCCAAGGGCACAAGATACCCAGGGTAGCCCTCCACCCAACTGGAGGCCCCTTCACCTGGTCCTGGTCCTGCCTCCCCTGGGTCTGCCCTGCCTTGCTGCACTCCCCAAGTGGACTGGCACTGTCCTGGGCTGGCTGCTTACCTGTGTCAGGAGTCCTGGGCTCTGCCAACCACCAGCTCCCAACTCAGGGCGTCCTCCCTCACCCACTCCCGCAGCCCCTACCTGGAGCAGCAGCTGCATTCTCTCTGTGCGGGCCAAACCCCCAGGCTCCCAGCACTCGGCCTGGCCTGCTCGGAGGCCCAGGGACTCCCCGGGGGCTGGGGACGGCAGGGTGGCCGGGGCTGCAGCTGCTCACAGCACACCAGGCTCACAGTGCAGCCCATCCGGCCTGGCGCCCGGCGGGCAGGGGCGGAGACGTGGGAGCCCCAGGAGCCGGCCACCCCTAGCCCTAGCGACAGCTCAGCCCAGAGCTCTGGCGACATTGGCAGGGGAGCAGCAACACCCCCAGCCTGGCCCCAACAGAGTCCCTGCCTTCCCGGACAGCGGCAACAGGACCCTACTGCGGAACCTGATAGGGGTCTGCACTACAGGTCCCGGACACAGCCAGTGATGAAGCCGACCTCAGGGAGCGGGGCAGTGAAGGGGGGGGGGGCGGTCCTTGGGACAAGGACTTCAATCAGTCTGACTTGAGGGGCAGGGTGAGAAAGAGACCAAGAACATGACAGGAGGGACAGGGAGAACATAAACGGAGACAAAGAGGGAGCGACAGAGATGGGGGACAGAGATGGGGACGCAGCCTCTTCATGGGGGGTATAGGTGCAGGACAGAGAAGAGGGCAGACACGCTGGGACATCCCTTGTGCTGGTTTTCACCTGCGGTTTCTAGGGCTTGTGAAAACAGCAGTCCTCCCAGGACCCTGCTCCTCGGCCCCAATACTAACTCCTGGGGCAGCCCAGCCTGGAAAAACGAGGACCTCGCATGGAAAGACCCCAGCCTCAAGGAGCAGAGGACAGCCAGGGTGGGGGGCCCCAGCCCACCTGGTCAACCCGCCTGGCCCGTTGCTGGGCACAGCATCTCACTGGTGGTCTCACTTCCATCCCTTCGGGAATGGGACCAGGACTGCAGGGGTCGGCACTGGTGACCAGAACTCATGGGGACTGCTCAGCTGACTGAGGTGGAGACAGGAAGGAGGCACGTGGTGGGACCCTCGCGCCCTTCCCCACCCTGGGGCGCGGCCCTCAGCGCAACCAAGCGGCAGGGAAGAGGAACAGCCACAGGAAGGGCAGGCGCGGAGCTCCACGGCCTCCCTCTGCCCCCTGGTGGCGAGGAGGAAGAAAGGCAAGAGCAAGTGCTGGAAACGTAAAGGAAACTAGCAGCAGTCCCTGCTGCCACAGTGGATCAGACCCCATTGGGCTAACAGGTGACTCTACCCCAGGTCAGCCTGAGAGGGGTCCATCCCCCATCTCACCATTCTGCCTCAGCGCCCTGGATCCTGCCTCTACCACTTCTTCCCTGCAGCGTCTTCTGTTCCCCCTCCGCTGTGAGCCAGGTTCCCCCTCCAGGCTGCTGGGTTGGAACTGAGTCACTTCCCTGGCTGTAAACCCTGGGACAGCTGTGCAGTGCACAGTCACTAGGGACGGACTCGGGCAGCAGAGCCGCGCTGTCGTGCCCCAGCCAGCCAGGCCCTCCCGGGTGAGTAGCAGGGAGGGCCCCGGAACTCATGGGGATAGGAGGGTAATGCCTGGAGCCAGGGGAGTAAAATGCATGACAGAGATAAGGAGAGGAGGAGGCACGTGGAGCCCTTCGTGGATTTCACACAGGATCTGGGATGGAAGGGGCTGTCGAGACCATCAGTCAATCTTTGGTCTACAGGTGGGGAAACTGAGGCTCAAGGAAGGTGAGTGATTTGCCCAAGATCACACAATGAGTGTGTAGCCAGGGCAGGATGGAGACCCAGGTCTCTGGACTCCTGAACCCATCCTCCCTGAATGCCATGCCCCACCCACCTCCCTCATTTGCCTCCGTTTCCCTCTCCCTTCCCCTCCGCTGCATCCCACCGCTGCACCACTGCCACGCCATCCCAAACTCCAGTGGCTGCAGCCTGGGAGGCAAGACAACTGGGTTTTCCACTCCATGCCTGGACTTGACTCTAGGATCTCAGAATAAAGACACCAGCTATCAGGGCCACAGTGTTTCCCTCTGAGCCCCAGGACCCATCAGGAGGAGAGCAGGATGAGATTCCCCTGGAAAGAGAGGCAGTATTAAAACCAGGCGCCCTGCTCCCCACACACACCCAGCATCTGCTCAGCCCCAGCCCTGGGGCCGCGCTTTACTTCTGCACCCTCTCTTCAAAGAACACACATTTTCCACTCAGCTGGGGCCCAGGAAACGATGAGAGGGTGTCTCGAGGAGGATGAGAACCCACGCAAGGCTGGGCCCTCCATGGGGAAGGAGGGGACACCCCAGCCTAGTGTCCACATGACGTGAGCTCTCACGGGGCCGCTCACACCACATCGGGGCCCAGAACACAGGCCCTGTGGGCACACAGACCTGAGTTCAAATCCTGGATACCTCTGTGATGCTGGATAAAGACTTGCCTTCTCTGTGCCCCAGTTTCTCTGGTCTAAAATGGAGTTAATAACCTCCAGGATTATGTGGGGATTGAATGGGACAAGGACATTGAGTGTCAGCACAGTGCTGTCACCCAGGGACTCCTCAATTGGTGGAGGCCACACCGTCATCTTCACACGCTGGCCTACAAGATAGAGCTGGAATGTCCCCCCACTAGGTAACTCGCTGTGTCACCCGAAATAAGTCACTTTCTCTCTGTAGGTTCTGCATCCTCCTTTGTGTAAGGAGAGAGTCGGGCAGTGAGGCCCAGGGTCCTTCCTGGGCTCACAGTCCAAGTCACAAGGAATCACATTGTTTCCAAGTGCCCATGGCAGAAGAGGGGGCCATCTTCAAGGTCACCCAGGATCTGAGAGGTGAGTGTCCAGTGAGATGTTCTGGGACTGAGTTGCGGGAGAAGTCAGGATCTGAGAGCCCTCCCTCAGCAGCCTGGCCTCCTGATGCCTGACATCTGCCATCCTCCCCCAGCTGCCGTCTCTGCCATCCTCCAGGGCTATGGGGATGGGCAGGGACCGGTGACGGACACCAGTGCTGAGCTGCACAGACTCTGTGGCTGCCTGGAGCTGCTGCTGCAGGTGGGACCTTCTCCTCCCCTTCCCCATCCATCTCCCCAGACCCAGACAACTGGCAGGACATTCCCAAAAAATGAGGGAGGAGCCAGCGCCCCCTTCCTTACCATACACTGTGTCATCTCCCTCTCCCTCCTGACCCCTAACCTCGCTCTTGGAGGCTGTCACTGCAGCCTGAGAAGCGAGGTGGGGCAGAGCAGGGTTGAAAGGGTCCCAGGGTTAGGGGTAGCCTCACTGCTTAAAGCTTTAGAGGCATGGATGTCCTAGGACTGGCCCTTCCTGCTGCTAGTCAGAGCCCCAGTCATGACCAGTACCAGATTTTATTGAGCACTTGCTATGTGTCAGGTTTTAGTCTCCACATGCCCAGCTTTATTCAATCCTCACACTCACCCTCTGAGATGCTTGATGTCCATCCCCCCCATACCCCAACACACATATTCCTACTTCTCTGACTTCCTCCCTTGCCAGCCTTCCCCCCACCTGCTGCACTCCAGCTCCCGTGGCCTCTCAGATCTCCCTGGAGCACACCAGGCACGTTCCTGCCTCGGGGCCTTTGCCTGGGCTCTTCCCTCTACCTAGGATGCTCTTCCGCCAGAATACACAGCACCCTTTCTCAGCTCCTTCAAGCTGGAAGGCTTTCTTGGACACCCTAGATTTTCAACACACGTGCCACACACGCCACGCACCACACATACACACACATCTTCCACTCTCTTTCCCTGCTTTGTTTTTTTGCTTCGTAGCAATCATCACTAGCTAGTATACTCAACGTTTCACTGATATCTGTTGTCTTATCTCCCCTATGAAGATATAAGCTCCACGAAGCCAGTTTGTTCATAGCTGTATCCCCAGAACTTAGAACAGGGCCTGGAACATAGTAAGTGCTCAATGAGGGCCTCTGAATGATTGAATGAATGAATGAATGAATGAGAACACTGAGGCTCAGGGAGGTCGAGCACCTTGCTCGTGGTCACACAGCCAGTAAAGACAGAGCTAGGTCTGGATGCCCAGTCTGTTTGCAGCTCTGTCCTCAACACGCTAGAATGCAGGCTGAGTTCTAGGAGGAAGCATTTCTACACTTTCTTTGCCTCGTTCTGGTTCTAGTTTGACCAGAAAGAGCAGAAGAGCTTCCTGGGGCCTCGGAAGGATTACTGGGACTTTTTCTGCACTGCCCTACGACGGCAGCGGGGGGACATGGAGCCAATCCACTTCGTCCGTTCTCAGGACAAGGTATCCAGGGCCAGGCGACGAAAAGGCTGACGGGGTGGATGTGGACATGGGCCTGCTCCTTCTTCCCCCACTGCTCTGCCGACCACAGACCCTCACCTGCTCTGCACATCTCCTGAGCCCTGCCTCAGCACCCCTCGAGGCACCCTGCTCCTCCCGTGCCCTTCAGGCCCCCCACACCCCTCCCATCACCCAGCACTTCCAGTCCTCTCTCTGTGCTGCCTGCACGTCCTCTGTCCTAATACCACCCCCCATTCTACCTCTGTGCCCTCCTCAGTTGAAGACCCCTCTGGGGAAAGGCCGTGCCTTCATCCGCTTCTGCCTGGCCCGCGGGCAGCTGGCTGAGGCCCTGCAGCTCTGCCTCCTGAACCCAGAGCTCACCAGGTGGGACTGTTGGGACATCCTCCTGCAGATGCCATCTGAGCCACTTTCCCCCCTTTGCAAAGAGCCCTCCTTTACCCCCACGTGGATGACTTTCTATCAAGGATAGTTACAATGAGTCACGAAGGAAAAATCAAGGGAGAAAGGGCAGAAGGAGGCTGGAACCCAGGAGTACTGGGAGCGTCAGGGTTCTGGGGCCTCCTGCTCCCGAAGGCCACAAGTCTACCTGGGGAACAGCCTCATTATGGTGTAGTGGAAGCTGCTTCATTGAGGTTGAGCTGGGGTCGGGATGGCGGCTGGGGCAGGGGAAATAGCACCAGGGTCAAAGGCCAGGGGTTCTGATCACAGTTAACACAGGGAATGGTATGGACCCCGGAGCCCTCTGCTCTGCCCAGAACACCAAGAAGACATCCTGGACTCTCTGTATGCTCTCAATGGGGTGGCCTTCGAGTTAGACCTGCAGCAGCCAGACCTGGATGGAGCCTGGCCCATGTTCTCAGAGTGAGTGGGTGCAGCCAGGAGGCAAGGCTCTTTTGACACCTGGTCCCATGGCCACCGGGGGTCCCAGGCAAGCCCCAAGCCCTCAGCCTCCAGCCCCATCTGTCTCTACCTCCTTTTGCTCCATGACTATGGATCCTCCTGGCCTTCAATGTTCCCAGTGCAAACTCACGGCATACCATCGTATGCTCTCACTCACGATTTCCTCGGTGTTTGAGGTGGAGGGCTGGAGGATGAACGGATAGGGATGTTGGGAGAGAAAGTACGGATGAATGGAGGATGGGATGCATGAGGGTGGGTGGGCAGGAAGGCAGGACGTGCCATGAGATGAATGGGTGGGTGGAAAGGTGGGATACCCTCCATCTAAGGACCAAGCCCACCACCGAACAGAGGCCCAGGGTCCCCCTGCCTCTTTCACTTTCAGGTCACGCTGCTCCAGTTCCACCCAAACCCAGGGAAGGAGACCCAGAAAAACCAAAGATGCCCCAAAGAAGGTGCCTCTGCCCTGCCTTCACTATCAGTTGCCTCTTCCCCGTCTCCTTGGTGCCCTCAGGTTGAGGCTTCCCCCTCTGAGTGTACGGAGAGCCCTGACCCAACCGGACAGACAGAGCAAGTGGAGCAGGGGACTGGGGAGCCGCAGAGTGGGAGGGGCTCGTATTCATGGGGTGGTGAGGACACCGGGAGAGAAAGGGAACTCTAGCACCCTCTGCTGGAGCCACTGGCCCCAGAGGAGGAGAAAGCGCTGGGGGACGGGGAGGCGTGCCACTGAAAGCTTCAGGAAACAGATGAGAGACACCCTTTGCTGAGTCCCCTGCACTGGACAATTGACAAACGTCTCAGTTCAGTTCAGGAAGCGACTGAAGAGTCAGGCTGCCTGGCTGAATCCCAGCCCCATCCCTTACAAACTACGGTCATCCCACAAGCACACTTTGCACCCCCACCAGCTTCCAGGCACCAGGTACAGATACTATTAGGTCTCTGATCTGAGAAGTTCGGGGTCTCTTCATGGAGATAGACCATAAAGAAAAGCATTGCAATGTACAAGTTCAGTGTAAGTCACACAGACATGAACAATGAACAAAGGAACATGGGAACACAGAGAAGCTTTTTTTTTTTTTTTTTTTTGAGACAGAGTCTCGCTCTGTCCCCAGGCTAGAGTGCAGTGCAAGATCTTGGCTCACTGCACCTTCCACCTCCTGGGTTCAAGGGATTCTCCTGCCTCAGCCTCCTAAGTTGCTGGGGCTATAGGTACCCACCACCACTCCCAGCTAATTTTTTGTATTTTTAGTGGAGACAGGATTTCACCATATTGACCAGGCTTGTCTCAAACTCCTGACCTTGTGATCCACCTGCCTCAGCCTCCCAAAGTGCTGGGATTACAGGTGTGAGCCACCGCACCCAGCCAAAAAGGCTTCTTGAGAGGTCACTCTTTGCTGAATGTTGGTTTTTTTGAGATTTCATCACAACCCTAAAACAAGGTACTATCATTCCCATTTTGCAGATGAAAAAACTGAAACACAAATTCAAGTTCAGGAGGAAGGATTATAGGAAAGGGGTAGGAGGAACTTAGGGGGAACCAGATCAATACCCAAGACCCAGGTGCAGGAGGGAGAAGGTTGCGGGCTGGGGGAAGAGAGAGAAGGACACGGGGATGCCCTGCCATCCCTCCCCAGACCAAAGCGAGGGATTCAGATCACCTGGGTGTTGCTAAAAGTCAGATTTGGGGTTTGATAAATCAAAGTTTCCATGAGAGGACCCAGTACCTACCTATTTAGCAAGCCCATTAGATTAGCACTATGGCCTAACCTAATCACTGCACCAGGTCAGTTAAGAGGGATGGCTGGTTTGGGGTCCTCTCCACAGATCCCAGCCACATATGGAGGCCCCAAAAATGTCCAGATGGAGGACTCACACACCCGTCAAGCTGTCTGTCTGCAAGATGCGCCCAGTGGACAGCAGTTGGTGGGGCTGCCCAGCTCCCAGCAACAAAGGCATCTTCCTTTCTCTTTGGAAAAGAAGGGAGAAAATTCCAGGAGCTTTAGGTATCCCCAGAGCACATGGGAACCCGAAGGGGAGGCGCCTCAGCTAGACCAGGCAGAAGGAGTCCCCTGGATTGAGATCTTCCTGGAGAACTCAATATCCAGCACCCAGGGACAGGGGAAAGGGGCTACAGGCACTCAGAAGGAGGTGAGAGGGATGGAGGCTGAGGGCACAGGGGTTCTGCTGGGTGCAGAGGGTCAGAGAACAACAGATGGGACTCGTGACGTGGAAGCACTGTGTCATATCCGGAGGCTGCTGACCCCCAGCCCCAGAGGGACCATAGAAGGAGCAATAGCAGGGAGCAGGCAGGGATGGGGGGGCTCTAGCGTCCTGGGGGAGCCCTGGGCTCTTCAGAGACTCACAACAAAGGAAGACTCCACCTCGGAGAATCCACGAGTGCAAACAGAAGTGACCCTTGTGGCCAGGAGAGAGGAGCAAGCTGAGGCGTCCCTGCAGGGCGTGGGCAAGGTGAGAACAGTTGAGCGCCATACCTGGTTATTCGCCCCTCTCTGACCTGGCCCACAGATGAGGGTCTGCAATAATCTCCAGAGACCACTCCCACCCACGGATCAATTTTTATTGTCCCACTCGGGATTATTATTTGGAGATGCCTTTGAAAGCCATATGCATTCCTCAGGTCCCCACAATCCACCTCTCCCCTATTGCCCCATGCTAGCCCTACTTTATTCAGCAATACTTCTTGCCCAGCCCCAGTAGGCACTGGAGTTTGAGATCCCTTCCCGGCAGCTCCTCCAGGCAGCCACCTCCTCTCCAGTTTCATATCCTCATGGTGGCAGGATGTCCCCAAATCTAAGTCCTACTGGTGCAGAGCCCTCCTAGTGGCTCCTATGGTACATGCTTCTCCTGTAGGTCACCCAAGATTGTCACCAAGCCTTCCTTTAGCCTCCACCCAGGAACTTCCAAGTTCCTGAATTTGCAACTTCCACCCTTCAATGAAGAAGGAAAGAAGCGGCCCAGACTCACCCAGAAGCAGGGCATAGGACAGAGCCAGGGATCACAGCTTTCAGCACTGCCCCATCCCTGCTGGGGCATAGCCTGGGGTCTCTCAGGAATGTTGTTCAGGGCAGCCCCAGCTTTGGGGTCTCTTTCCTCCTCCTTCAGTCTCCTCCTCCCCTCCTTCCACTCCTCAGAGCCTCAGACTTGGGCTCCAGAAGGCCGAGGAGCAGGCCCAGCACCAGGAGCGGCTGCTGAGGGAGCAGGAGGGGGAGCTGCAGGCACTTCGGGAGCAGCTCAGCAGGTAACCTTGGCAACCCACAGCACAGGGTGTCCGGAAGTGCTCCCTGAGTCCTGCTGTCAATCACGGTCAAGCCAGTGAGGTCTTGTGAGCACCTCCCATGCACCAGGCCCTGGGCTGGGCACACCTTTGGGATCTGAGGCCTGCAGGGCATTGCTCCTGATCCCAGGGGCTCCACCTTCCCTCCCCTGTGCCTCCCTTTCTCACAGGCCTCCCAGAGCAGCCCCAGGACAGGCCCCGCTCCTGGCCTCCTTCCCTCCCACCCTCACCCCTGCCTCCCTCTGCTGCCTCCCCAGGCAGCTCCTCTCTCTTTTCTACCCTCTCTGCCTTCCTGCTCTTCTGGGCTTCTTTTCCCCATCTCTTTCTGTCTCCGTCTTTTACTCAGTTTCTTTATGTCTCATTTGCTTCTTCCTGTTAGGCCATCTCTCACCTCTCATACTCATAGCTATCATTTACTGAGCATTTACTATGTCCAGGACGCTGCTGCAGGTGCTTCTGCCTAACATCCTTATAAGATGAGTTCTATAGAGCCCCCATTTTACAGAGGAGGAAGCTGAGGCTCAAAGATGCCGCACAATATGCCGACACTAGCTAGTTAGCTGGGAGCTGAGGTTCAAGGCCTGCTGCTGACTCCAGACCAGAGGGCTCAGGTGCTCACTCAGGCAGCACGTCGGATGCCTGCACCTCAGTCTCTTTGTCTCTCCTGCTCTGTGTCTCACACCATCCGGCGTCTTCATCTTCCATCTTCACAGTGACCTCAGGGGCCCATGGCACGCTGTCTGTCTCTACCTTCCCCACTCAGTCTCTCAGGTCTCAATTTCTCTCTCTCTCTCTCTCTCTCTCTCTCTCTCTCTCTCTCTCTTTCTTTTTCTTTTTTCTTTTCTTTTTTTTTTTTTTTTTTTTTTGTGATGAGGTCTTGCTTTGTTGCCAGGTTAGAGTACAGTGGCTCGATCTTGGCTCACTGCAACCTCCACCTCCCGGGTTCAAGCAATTCTCCTGCCTCAGCCTCCCAAGTAGCTGGGATTACAGATGCCCGCCACCATGCCTGGCTAATTTTTTTTGTATTTTTAGTAGAGATGGGGTTTCATAATGTTAGTCAGGCTGGTCTCAAACTCCTGGCCTTAGGCAATCCACCCACCTCAGCCTTCCAAAGTGTAGGGATTACAGGTCTGAGCCACCGCGCCTGGCCTGACATGTGTTTTATAGGCCCAGCAGAGCTGGCCTGTCAGCAGAGAGTCCAGTGAGGACCCTGCTGTGCAGGGGAGAGTCGGGGTGCTCAGATCATGATGGCCGCGTGGCGCAAGGAGAAGCTGCTGGGCTCTGGATCCAGTGTGAAGGAGAACTTCCCAAAGAATTGGATACGCAGTCTGAAGGAAAGACAGAAGTCGGGGATGACTCTGAGTTTTTTGACCTGATCAGCTGGAAAGCTAGAGTCACCATTAACTGAAGTGTGTGGGCTGTGAGAGGGCAGGTTTGTGGGGAAAGTTCAGAGCTTGGTTTTGAAACGTTATGTTTCAGACACCTGTTAGACGTGTTAGATGGGGGCTGCCGGGCAGGCAGTTGAGCGTGGAGCTCAGGAGGGAAGCGTGGAATGGGAGATCTATCCTGGAGTCCTCAGAGTAAGGACAGTGAGTAACAGCTGACCCTGAGGCTCAGAAGGAGATGTGCTCCCTTGATGCCTGGGAGCCAGGGAGCTAAATACAAAGCTCACTCCAGGAAAGGAGCCGGTGGCCATCAAGCTGGTCATGAGTTCCTCAACAGAGAATAGAAGGGCCGAGGGACGTATTCATTCCATCAGACACTTATTATGCCTCTACAATGGCCATGAGCAGGTGTGGTGAACAAACCTAGCCAAGCCTATTCTAGAAGACCTGGGACAGATAAACAGATAGCAATCCAATGCCCATTGGATAGATGCTAGGGAGAAAAACAAAGGCAGCGAAGGGCCTGAAGAAAGACAGGATAGTCATTCAGACTGGGGGCCACGAAGCCCTCTCTGAGGAGGTGACATTTGAGCAGACGTCCCAACCACGTGAGAGACTGGACCTTGCAAATATCTAGTCAGAAGTGCTGTGGCTAAGGGAACGGCCGGAAGACATGCGTTTGTGGACAGGCAGGCCAGATGCACAGGGGGTGGCTGAGCAGAGGGGAGAGGGGCAGAGCCAGAGCCAGGGGCCTCAAAGGCTGAGTGAGGCACTGGAATTCTTCCCTGTGCCACCAGAGGCTGGGGCAGGGTTTAGAGTGGGGCGTTTCTCAGTCTGACTTCAGCGTTTAAAGGCTCACTCGGGCTGTGGTGTGGAGGACAGACGGATGGTTGATGGGTGGGAGCCCCCATGCAGAGCACAGGCTGGGAGCAGAAGTCAGCCACAGCCGACCTGCAGGCAGCAGGCCCAGGGCAAGTCCGTGGGCTTGGGCTGAGGCATGGGGCGTCTAACACCCACTTCACGGCTTTCTGGCTGTGGGCCCCTGGGGACAGTGGCCGGCCCTCTGAGCCTTAGGTCCATGATTTGCAAAAGGAGACAGTGGGGTGGCTAAGGTTCCTCCTCCCAGCTCAGATGCTCTGTGGGGCCATCTTTCCAAGCAGGTGGGTGTCCTCTCGAGCGAAAGCAATTAGGACACGCGTCAGCAGAAGAGGTCCTCAGGATGAGGAACTAGGCAGATATCACACATCCCCCAGCCCCTGCACAGCAGCACTGAGCTCCTTTGAGTCCGCCAGCCTCCATCAGCATCCTTCCCTCCCTCCCTCCCTCCCTCCCACCTGCTGCCCACTTGGTGACAGTGCCAGGAATCTCTGGTGATCAGGGCCTTACCTGGATGAAGGTGCAGGGAGGTAAAAAGAGTTTTGACCTAGGCAAGCCTGTGTCTAGATTTCTGCTCCCTCCACTCATCAAGTGTAACCCTGTGTAACCCTGGGCAAGTGTCACTCCCTCTCTGAGTTTCTATTTTCTCCCTTGTAAAATGAGGATCATATTATCCGTTGCACAACATTGTGAGAACTAAATGAATGGGGCTATAAAACGCTAAACCCGGGCCTGACATATAGTAAGTGCTCAGGAAACGAATTCCTTCCATGTCCCCCTCGTTTGCTAGGAGTATTCGTCACCCTGTAATTAAAATACGTCAGGGGCTCCCCATTTCACCGAGATTAACATCCACTTCTCCTGGGCCACTGGCGGACAGCTCAGGTCCTGCCCAGCTCCCCGCTCCCCTCCTGCCTCCCCTGCCCCCCACTGACCTTTGTGGCAGTCCGGATTTCTCATCTTCTTTCAGTTCCTTAAACAAGCTCAGCTCTTTCCAACTTGCAGACCTTTGCATGTGCCCATGCCTGCCTCTATATTCCTGACTTCTCATCTTCTGGATCTGCTTCCGTTTCACCTTATCTGAGAAGCCTCTCCAAGAACCCTCTCTGGTCTCTGTCTGAGCCTCTCCTTTGTCTCCGTCATAGTACTTAGTTTCGCTATTTTACAGGTCTATCATTTATTTCGCCCCTGCCCCAAACACTGTAAGATCCACAGGCACTGCTTTATTCCTGGCACCTACACATCCCTTGGAACACAGCAGGTGGTAAGGGAGTGCTCTCTGCCACCCCAAAGACACATGCACACACCACGGTGGACCACATTAAGGGCCCAGGATCACCCGGTAAGTAAACTGACTCAGGAAAATTAAAGTCAGCAGCTAAGAAATGAGGTGCCAAAAGACTAGAACATTCATTAAAATTCAAAACATGGCCCTGCTCTGTGCCTGAGCACCAGAAGCCTCTTAGGGCTGCAGTGACTGAACTCTGGAATGTCAGGGACTGGGCTGCTGGCAGTTTGATGTCATGGCCCACCCAACTTTCTTCCCAGCAACGTGCTAAAAGGGGGTGTTAAAATTACATGTTCAATTCATTGTTAAGCCTATTGCAAGCCTCTTCCACTCAAACACGCTCAATCCCCAGGACACACAGGGGCACACAGACGCACATGAACCCTGAACACAGGGACTCACTCATGCCACCCGCCATCACAGCGCCCACCCAGCTGAGCCAGGGGCCTCCCAGCTGAGCCAGAGGCTGGGCCCTGGGGCCAGGTCTTTTTTATATCCAGTCTAGTCGTCTTCTCGGAACCTTTCAGAAAACCACTGCAGACAAAAAGAAAGGCCAAGAGTGGAGCTGAGAAGCTACCAAACCCACTGAAACAAATTTAGGAAAGCCATATTTTTACTATTACTTTTTTAATTGAGAAGACAATGTAACATAACTTTTTAAAATACTTTAAAGCAAAGCATCACCCTAAATCCTACACTGCTTCCCTTCCACACACAATTATTTCCAGCTGGTCGCCGACCATCCAGCCTGGGGTCCCAGGCATCCGCTTTCCCTCCAGAGAGCTGCCAGGATGGTGACCATACCTGTCAAGAAAGTTACATTTTAAATGGAAATGTTTAAAAGCAAAGCAGGGGCCAAGTGTGGTGGCTCACGCCTGTGATCCCAGCACTTCGGGAGGCCGAGGCGGGCGGATCATAAGGTCAGGAGGTTGAGACCATCCTGGCCAACAAGGTGAAACCCGTCTCTACTAAATACAAAAAATTAGCCAGGCACGGTGGCAGGTGCCTGCAGTCCCAGCTACTCAGGAGGCAGAGGCAGGGGAATCGCTTGAACCCGGGAGGCAGAGGTTGCAGTGCATGCACACTGTATGCATGTTGTGTTATGTGTCTGCATTATGGATGTCTGTTTTGTGTGTTGTGCAAGTATGTGTGTATATGTTGTGTTGTTTGTGTTCTGTTTATGTGTGTGGTATGTGCATTTATATGTGTTGTGTTGTGTGTATTGTGTTGTATGTACATTATGTGTGTTGTGATGTGTGGTGTGTTGTGTGTGTATGTATTGTGTGTATACATTATATGTGTGTTGAGTTGTAAGTGTGTCTTCTGTGTTGTGTGTATGTATTCTGTTATACTGTGTGTGTATTAGGGTGTGTGTTGTGTTGTGGGCATGTGTGTGCTGTGTGTTGTGTATATTTTGTGTTGTGTTTTTTGTTGTATTGTATTGTGTCTGGTGTGTTGTACGTGCATGTTATGCATGTGCATTGTGTGTGGGATTATGATTGTGTGTGGTATGTATGATGTATTGTGTTATGTGTGTGAATTATGAATGTGCCTATAGTGTTGTGTTGTGTGTCTGTGTATGTTGTGTTGAAAGAATGTGTTGTACTGTGTGGTGTGTTGTGCATATATGTTGTGTTTGTGTGTGCTGTGTTATGTGTACAGGTTTCATATGTGTCATGCATACCTTGAGTTGTGTGTATGTGTTATGCTGTGTTTTATGTATGTGTTGCATTGTCTATATGTGTTGTTTGTGTGCTGTGTGTTGTATTGTGTGTGTGTTATATGTAGGGGATGTTGTGCTGTGTGTATTGTCTTGTGTGTATATGTTGCATGTGTGTATATGTGTTCTGTTGGGTAGCGTGTCTGTTGTGTTATGTGTTGTATTGTGTGAGTGCATCATGTGTGTTATGTTTTGTGTTGTGTGTATGTGTTGTGTTTTGTGTGAATGTTGTTATGTGTATGGGTTACATTTGTGTTGTGTTGTATATATGTTGAGCTGTATGTATGTGTTATATTGTGTGTTGTATATGTGCTGTGTTGTGTATAGGTGTTATATGTGGTATTGTGTGTGTCTCAATATGTGGGGGGTTGTGTGTGTTGTCTGTATTGTATATATGTGTTCTGTTGGGTGTTATGTCTGTTGTGTTACGTGTTGTATTGTGTGTGCGTTTTGTGTGTGGTGTGGTGTGTATTGTAGTGTTTGTGTGTGCACACATGTGTGTGTATGGACTTCAGCTGCCGAGGGCATCACCAGCATCTCTCCTGGGCTCCCTGTCCAACAGAGGCCCAGCCTAGCTCAGGCACAAAGGCTGAGCTTTTTCCCTGAGCACTTCGTCTTCTCTGTACCCAGGTGTCAGGAAGAGAGAGTCGAGCTGCAGGCACAGCTGAAGCGGAAGCAAGAGGAGGCTGAGAGGAGGGACGCCATGTACCAGGAGGAGCTTGGAGGGCACCGGGACCTGGTCCAGGCCATGAAGAGGCGGGTGTTGGAACTGATTCAGTAAGGGCGGGGACGGTGGGGAAGGAGAGACAGACAGGGGAATGGTAAGGGATGTGGAGCCCAGAGTGTGAAAATTCTATTCCACTCACAGCTCCCAAGCAGGGTTCTAGACCTTTTATATATGCTAACTCTTCTGTTTCTTTTAGCCACTCCCTGCTGTTATCCCCATTTTACAGATAAGGTAACTGAGGTTCAGAAATAAGGCAGATTTGGCCAGACACAGTAGCTTGCATCTGTAATCCCAGCACTTTGGAAGGCCAAGGCAGACCGATCACGAGGTCAGGAGTTCAAGACCAGCCTGGCCAATGTAGTGAAACCCCATCTCTACTAAAAATACAAAATTAGCCGGGCATGGTGGCACACACCTGTAATCCCAGCTACTCAGGAGGTTGAAGCAATAGAATCATTTGAACACGGGAGGCAGAAGTTGCAGTGAGCCAAGATCATAGCACTGCACTCTAGCCTAGGCAACAGAGTGAGATTCCCTCTCAAAAAAAAAAGGCAGACTTGGTCACCTAGGACACATAGCATATAAATTCTATAGCGTTCCCTGACAATAATGCACATCCCCACCCAGACCCACCCCCACATACACACACCTACTAAGGTTAGGAGAAGAGAAAGGAACCATGGGTTGAGAAGGAATTGGGAGAAGGAGGAAAAGACACCAGTGAGAACCCAGAGGTGATCACGTGTCTTACACCTGCCTGCCCACGGGACTTCCTCAGACCCTGGGCCTGTGGACCAGCCCTGGGTCAGCTGTCCTAGATTCCAGAAGCTAGACTCACCGGGGTCAGCTCCAAACCACTAAGCTCACTGAGAGGTGGGGGAGATGTAGAAAGCATCGTTTCTGCCCTGAGTTGAGGAGAAAGAGAATTCACAGATGTAGGTTATCCTCTCACACAGCTCAGGAAACAGGAAACCAGCAGACTCAGGCTCAGCTTCCATTAACACTGGAAAGTTCCTAAGGGATTTTTTTGTTTTGTTGTTGTTGTTGTTGTTGTTGTTGTTGTTGTTGTTGTTGTTTTGATACAGAGTCTCACTCTGTCACCCAGGCTGGAGTGCAGTGGTATGATCTAGGCTCATTGCAAACTCCACCTTCCAGGTTCAAGAGATTTTCCTGCTTCAGTTTCCCAGTAGCTGGGACTATAGGCATGTGCCACCATGCCCAGCTAATTTTTGTATTTTTAGTAGAGACAGGGTTTCAGCATGTTGGTCAGGCTGGTCTTGAACTCCTGACCTCAAGCAATCCACCTGGCTCAGGCTTCCAAAATGCTAGGATTTCAGGTGAGGGGTCATTTTGAATCAAATCCGCTTACACAAAATCTAAATGGTATTAAAGGTGAGAAAAAGGAGACATCCGCTTGGAAAGGACAAACAAATAATTTAAGGAATAACTTCTCCAATTGGGAGGAAGAGAGATATAAAAAGTGAAGTACTGCACTTTGGGAGGCCGAGGCAGGTGGATCACGAGGTCAAGAGATGGAGACCATCCTGGCCAACATGGTGAAACCCCATCTCTACTAAAAAATACAAAATTTAGCTGAGTGTGGTGACGCACACCGGTAGTGCCAGCTACTTGGGAGACTGAGGCAGGAGAATTGCTTGAACCCAGGAGGCAGAGATTGCAGTGACCCAAGATTGCGCCACTGCACTCAGGCTGGCGCCTGGTGACAGAGCAAGACTTTGTCTCAAAAAAAAAAAAAAAAAGTGAAGTATTGACCTCATGAAATAATTTAAGGCATGTAACAATAAAAGATATATACATGTGATTGTTAAAGAAAATTAGCATGGCCAGGTGCGGTGGCTCATACTCCTGTAATCCCAGCACTTTGGGAGAGCGAGGTGGGTGGATCGCCTGAGTTCAGGAGTTTGAGACCAGCCTGACCAACATGGTGAAACCCTGTCTCTACTAAAAATACAAAAATTAGCTGGGCATGTTGGCAGGAGCCTGTAATCCCATCTACTTGGGAGCTGAGGCAGGAGAATCACTTGAACCCTAAAAGCAGAGGTTTCGATGAGCCGAGATTGTGCCACTGCACTCCAGCCTGGCTGACAAGAGTGAAACTCTGTCTCAAAAAAAGAAAGAAAGAAAATTAAATGGAACATATAATAGAAAACAAAAAGCATATATCCCCAAAGTGTTACGATTAGGGTTAGCATTAGAAGTCAGCAGTGAGCATCTTGGTAGCAGGATCAAAAAGGGAAAGACGGAAGTGACTAAGTCTCACTTTCCATCCTAAGAAAATATACAAGTCCATCAGCAGGGAAAAATGTTTTTCCCAGTGCAAAGGTGATTAATCACAGGTTATCAGACAGGAAACATTAATCTATGTAATACAATGTCCCTGGAAGAAGCTTATGGAAAAATAGGACCGTAAGTAAAAAACAAAAAGAAAAAGAAAAACAATAGCCACCAAGGTTGACTTCTGCATCAGGATGGTGGACTAGCCACATCTCATCTATTCTCCATCCTGAAATTTCTCTGAAATGACTGTAAAAGACTAAAACTTAAAACAGAGAGAAAAGTGGAGGAGCTAACCAAAGAGAAGAGATTTCAGCTAATTTCCAGAAGCTGGAAAATGGATAGAAAAGTGGATACTGTGTGAAGCTCAATTTAGAACTGCAAGATTCAGAGATCCCCAGAGCCACAGATGATAGAAGTCAGGTGAGGAATAAAGTCATTAGAAAGAGCAGTCCATACCTGTTGCCTGCTGCCTGCCTCCCCACATGCAGAATATCACGTGCTCAGGGGCCTGTCTCCCAAGCAAACGATCAAAAGATCCTTCGCTAAATGAATTTAAATGCCCCAAATAAAAGACCAGTTTGTCCTGGCAGTTGGGAGTCTGGTTATAGCAGGTAGCTCCCTGCCCAGCCACCCTAAAGGGAAGCCACTAGTCAACCATTCCTGTCCAATGTTCAAGCTCCAAACAGCTTTTATTGCCTCTTTCTTAAATATAAAATGACAACCAAGGATCCCCAGATATTTGAGGAGAGTCTAGAATATAAAGGGAAGACATGAAGATAAATGAAAAAGATCCATCTTCCATGAAACAGGATGCTATAAAAAGCATCTGTCAAAAGATGAGAAACATTCTTGGAAATTAAAAATTAAATTAAAATTATGATCACTGAACTGTTTCAATTCACTAAAAGGATTAGAAGAGAAAATTGAGGCAGTCTCTCAGAAAGTAGAATAAAAAGCATAGAGAGATGGGAGTCAGGAGAGAAATAATTAGACATACAGATAATCAGTCTCTGAGTTCCAATGTCCTTTCTAACTGTGAGGACAGAATCAAATGAAACATACCAAAAATTAAGACATGCGAGAATTCTACAGTTCTGATGGACACAGATCTTCAGATCTGAAGATTTCACTAAGCAAAGAAATGAAAACCAAAACAAAGCCCACAGTTAGATACATCATTATGAAATTTCAGTAACATAGATAAAAAGAATGTCTTAAGATTGTCTAGGAAAAGAGATCACCTATAAAAGAAGTAGAATCCAACCACACAGTCTATGGTGCAATACCTTTCAAGTTCTGAGAAAAATTGACTTTTGCCCTAGAATCTTGTTTCCAGAAAAACCATGAATTAAGTCGGGGAGGTGGGGGAGTAAAGACATTTTCACATAGATGGGTTTCAGAAAATTTACCTCCCACATACCCTTGCATAGGAAGTTAGTTGAGGATGTGCTCCAGAAAAACGAGGAAGTAAGCCAAGAAAGGAGAAGATGTGGAATTCAGGAAAAAATAGCTCTAGCCTAGGAGAGAAGAAAAGGGAATTCCCAAGATGACAGCAAATGGGCAGCAAGCCCAGGGAGCAGTCAGTCTAGACTGTAGCAGGACCAAGGATCCAGGAGAAAGGTCTCTGGAGAGAAAGGGAATCAAGAGAAGACTTGAAAAGGTGAAGAATTGGAAGGAAAATAATCTGTTAAAGGCAAGTAATGCCAGGAACAAAGAAAGGCAATTAAAAACTCCCAGAAAACCAAAAGACTTCCAGGAAGTAAAATGTTACAGAAGGCATCTCAGCTCTTTGGGAAGAAATACGTATATATATAATCTAATAATATAAACATTATTCTTTAATTATTTCAGTGTTAGAATCAACTTAAAAGAAAAGCACAGAAAGCAATTATATAATTATAGAAACAGAACATAAATGCTACCACCTGAACAATATGATGTATAGAATAGAATCCAATAGAATGTTCTGTAAAGGAGGAAATGTTCTATATTTATGCCTACCAGTATAGTAGCTGGTAGTCACATGCAGAGATGGAGCACTTGAAATATCGAGCTGGTGCAACTAAGGAACTGAAGTTTTATTTTATTTATTAATATTTTAATTAAATTAAACATAAATAGCCATAAATAGCCACATGTTGGATAGCGGCTACCATTTTGGATGCTGTGAGAAAAGATGACAAGTTGGAAGGTGGAGGAAAGAGGTGAATTGAAAGGAAGAGATGCTGGCATCGTCATATTACGGAACAGAAGTTATAAGGACACCACCTGTAGTTAGTAGATGAAGAAATAAATGTGTGAGTATATTCTGTAAAAATTACAATGGTAGACTGAGCACAATGGCTCACACCTGTAATCCCAGCACTTTGGGAGGCCGAGGTGGGTGGATCACCTGAGGTCAGGAGTCCAAGACAGGCCTGGCCAACATGCTGAAACCCCATCTCTACTAAAAATACAAAAATTAGCCAGGTGTGGTGGCACATGCCTTGGAAGGCTGAGGCAGTAGACTCACTTGAACCCAGGAGGCAGAGGTTGCAGTAAGCCAAGATCATGCCACAGCACTCCAACCTGGCTGACAGAGCAAGACTCTGTCTCAAAAAATAAAAATAAAAAATTACAATGGTAGCCAATAGAGGAACCAAAAAAAGGAATACAACTACATTAGAAGGAGGGTACATTAGTGAGGATAGTAATAAATAAACTAAATCCTCTGATATCAAAGGAAGGAGTTCTATAGAAAATGTTCTCTATTGGCAAAGAAGGAGATACAGGAGCGTATCTCTAAAATATGGAAGTAATTTCAAGGAGAGAAAGCAAAAAGATGTCAGAAATGGTTTGCCACTGAGAATAAAAAGGAGACAGGAGAGTATCTATTGCCTTTTGATAAGAACACTTTTGTTTGATTTGATTTTTAAATTATGTGTATGTATTATTTTGATAAAAATTTAAAACAACCCATCTTCCTAAACATCCTTTCAAAAGACAGTGAAGGTAGGGCACGGTGGCTCATGCCTGTAATCCCAGCACTTTGGGAGGTTGAGGCAAGTGGATGGCTTGAGCCCGGAAGTTCAAGACCAGCCTGGGCAACATGTCAAAACCCCATCTCTACAAAAAATTAGCCAGGCATGGTGGCACATGCCTATAGTCCCAGCTATTCAGGAGGTTAAAGTGGGAGGGTCACCTGAGCCTGGGAGGTAGAGGTTGCAGTGAGCTGTGATCATGCCACTGTACTCCAGCCTGGGCAAAAAAGTGAGATCCTCTCAAAAAAAAAAAAAAAAAGCAGTGAAATTAGTTTTGCAAGGGCATACACATAAATACAAGGCAGTTTGTACTAAGTGCCAGATAAGAGACAAGAGGCAAGATGTGCTGTGTCTGGAGCAAGAAACCCCAGAGGCCTCTGTGATCAGGGAGCACTCCTTTGTGCTCAAATAATGGGTCTTTAAATCATGGGTGAAAGTTATTTTGGGCAAAGAGGAGGCCAGATGTCAGATGCATTCTCATCTCTCATATGTGTCTCTCAGTGTCTCTTCATTTCTCTCTTCTTTCTCTGGCCCTTGTATCTCTTTATCTCTCCAACTGTCTCTATATCTCTCTCTCCCCCTCTGTCTCCATTTTCTCTGTCTCTGTGTCTCTTTCTCTGTTTGTCTCTCTCAAACAGAGATATTTATAGGGAGAACTCTATATATCTCTCAACTTCTCTGTGTCACTCTCTGTCTCCCTCCAATCCTCTGACTTCCTTTCTCTCTCTCTGTCTCTCTTGCTCTCTCACTCTCTCTTTCTGCTTCTGTCCACTCCCCCCCGCCCCGCCGAATAACCATCTTTCTCTGTACCTCTTTGCATCCCTCTTTATTGCTGTGTCTCTTTCTGTATCTCTGCTGTCATTTCTGTCCCTGTCTCTGAATCTCTTTTTATTTCTGTGTGTGTTCATGTGATTCCCTCCATCACCCTCTCTGTCTCTCTCCTCCTCTCTGTGTGATTCCCTCTGTCTGGTCTCTCTGTCTGGGTCATTTCCCATTTCTATATTTTGATCTCTGTCTCTCTGTGTCTCTCCACCTCCATCCCCCATCAGAGAGAAAGAACGCCTGTGGCAGAGGCTCCAGCATCTCTCTTCCATGGCCCCTGGGTGCTGTGTGGCCTGTAGCAAGATCTTTGGCCGATTGTCTCGGCGGTATCCATGCAGGTAAAGGGAAGGGCACAGAATCCTCCCTCTGGGACAGCCCAGTTTCCACCAGCTCACAGCTCCCACCCACCCCAGGGAATAGAGAGACAAAGGAACTGGGTGTTTATAAAAGGCCACTTACAGCTGGCCACTCATTCTACCACATCTGGCTTCCAACACTAAGCAGAGCCACGAAGGAGAAGAGCAGAAGGGTCAGATAAGGAGTGGGATCTGGGGGGGCAGGATTGGGTCCCCCTCCAAGAGCCAACAGAAATGAGCCTCTCATCTAGAAGGGAGTGTCTACAGCGGAATCTGCTCCCTGTCCTTCCTCTGTGAGCACTGTGCTAGGACCGGCCTCAGGAGAGCGGAAAGTGAGCCACCAGGAGAAGCTGCCATGTGGAGGTGGAGGCTCTGGAAGGGTCGGGCATCAGGATACCCTTCAGGAAAGGGCATACCTCCTGAGACAGACCAAGGACCATTCTGCTGAGAGATGAGAAACGGATGTCTCAGGTGGCCCTGAAGAGGCTGGAACTCCATGACCCCAGCACCCACCTGGGGAAGTGCCATCTGCAGAGGCCACCCCAGTCTTCCTTGCCTCTGCTTTCCAGGCTCTGTGGAGGCCTTCTCTGCCATGCTTGCTCTGCAGATTATAAGAAGAGAGACCGCTGCTGCCCACCCTGCGCCCAGGGAGAAGTCCAGGTCGCCTGACCAAGACCAAGACCAGCTCACGACCGGCCTCCCACCCTCCTGCCCACTCCCCCTAGTCCACTCCCTACCCCCAGCTCTTCCCAGCCCTCTTGTTTGTCCACTCCTAATTCTAGACACTGAAGATCTAAGGTACCTGCACTTCTGTGAGCAGAGGAGGGTGTGGGGGGTGGTTCCAACCCTGCAGCTACCACAAGGAGCCAGGTGACTTTGGCAAAACCCTCAGTGCTCAGGGCTTCTCTAACATGAGGAGTCAGGCTCCATTGTCTCTAAAGTCCCTCTGGGCTCAGCATGTCCATGACTGTAGATGAGACCCCAGCAGCCCTGACGTTTCTCCACGCTCCCCACTCACCCAGCGGCGGTGCCCACCCTTCCTGATTCACGAGAAGTGATGCCCGCACTGGCTTGGGTTCTTCAGTAGCTTCCTGTCTGAGAGTCAGCTTCAGGAATCTGTGTTAGTGTCATTGTTTTTCTTTTTATGTTTAACAGCTTCATTGAAGTACTATTGACATATAATAAACATCACAGTGTACAATTTGATGAGTTTGGATTGTAATCAACACCAGTGAAACCATCTTCATAAACATATCCATCCGCCCCAAAGTTTCCTATGCCCCTCTGTGGCCTCCCTCCCTTCCCTTCCCTCCAGACCTAGGCAAACACTGATCTGCTCTCAGTCACCACAGGCTAATGTGCGTTTTCTGGCATTTTATGTAAGTGAAATCATGCAATACACCCTCTTCATTGCCTGCCTTCCTCTGCTCAGCCTAACAATGTCGAGATCTGTGCCTGTTACTGCATGTATCAACGATGTATTTTATTGCTGAGTGGCATTTCACTGCATGGGTATGCCTGCACTCACCTGTGGCTGGACATTTGAGCTGTTTCCAACTTCGGGCTATTACAAATAAGATTCCCATGAGCCTCTGCTGACCTAAACATTTGTTTCTCTTAGGTTTCTCCTGTGTAGACATACACCTATTTCTTTTAGGTAAATACCTGGGAATGACATGGGTGGGTCATTATGTTTAACTTTTCAGAAACTGCCAAACTGTTGCCCAAAGAGGTGGTACATGGGCCCTTCCCACCAGCAGTGTGTGAGAGTTTCTGTTACCCCCACCCCATTCCCACCAGGACACCTGGGTTTGGAGGGCAGGGCAGAGGCAAAGGTACAGAACTGGACCTCTCTGTCCTTCCCTGCCAACCACCATAGTTCTTGATGGATCCCAAGTTGAGAGCATCTGGAGGGAGGGGCTGAGTCTAGGTGACTCTGTGCAGTGTTCATTGGCCAGACTTTGATAAGGACCGCTGATGTGGGCTATGCAGTACTGTGGCATGATCTCATATCCCCTGTACTCTTCAAGAAGACTTACGCAAGGTGTACGTCCTTCACTAGGCACCTGATTGTGGTGCTTCTGAGAATACTGTTTCGGAAGAAGGGCAGCCCACACGCTATGATAAGATGATTAGCTGCCCTACACAGGTTCTAAGACACATTTTGTGGCCTAACAGGGAGTCACACAACTCTTGCCTACTCTGCCTTGCAGGCACTGCCAGAGCCTCCACAGCAGTTGGGCAATCCCGTGGCTCTGACCAGAGCTCTGGACGGCCTTTTAGGGTTAGGCCGCCCAGATTGCATCCCATTACCTTCACATAAAGCAAGAGTTTTGCAACAGTGGTTTCTGCCCTGGAGAGCTGGTGAGAACTTCTGCTTAGCAAACACAATAACAGGGTGAGGGAAGAAAGCGGGGTTGGTGGGGGCGGTTCCTAGAGCAATCAGAGCAATAGAATTTCCACTACCTTCAAGGGCAGCAGTCTCTTTCTGGAAATGAGGCTCACTCACTTACCTTTACTAGGGCGGAGTTCTTACTGTAGCAGAAGTCATATTCTAACAGGAACTCCAGCACAAAGTTCAGACCTTCCTAATGAATTGATTGGGTGTTCTCAGGGTGGGGAGGGGGACTGGTTGAAGCCCATTTCACAGAGCAAGGAGACTGCTCCGGGAAGAGACCTCTCATCAGACGGGAATCAGGGGCCAGGAATGGGGGAGCTGGACCTTCTCCCACTATTTGGGGAAAAGAAGGACAGTGCCGAAGACCAACAGCCAGCTCACCACTGCCCCTGATGAGTCTGCACCAAGTCCAGTGGAGAGCAAAAGAGCTCCAAAAAGAAATCAGAAGTTTGTTAGACTTTGGGGATTCTCAAGCAGAGAGATCCATGAAGACCACCAGAGACCTCCCAGAGCCTAGCACCGTAAGTACGCCCATCCTTCCTCAGTGGTGACTCTAGGGTGCATGTCCAGTAACTGCAAAGCCCAGAGAAGCACGCAGGAGACACCCCCAACAGACTTCCCAAGACCCTGTGGAGCTCATTACAGGGCTGAAGCATGAGCACATGGGCCCTGAGCCGGTGCCATCCAGGTGGCTGCTATTGATGTGACTTCATCTGTATTCATAGGCTGGGGACGCCCTGGGTAATTGGGGCAACATAATTACTTCTTTAAATTAGATGTCACTGGGATGCGCCAATGTACGTCAGTTTTCCCTACCTGTCAATTTATTCAGTGCTCAACAAAAATGTATTAGGCATCTATGATATGATTGGTTTGGAGAGACAAAGATAAAAATATGTATGAAACCACTGCTTTCGAGAACCTCACCATGGGGGACGGAGCAGCCAAATGGATGATCAAGTACAAACCCTTGGCTACACTTGCAAGGCAAAGGGAGAGTTGGCCAAACCGGAAGAGTGGAAAAGACCATCCCAGGGAAAAGGGAAACACACACCAAGACCCCAGGGGAAACCAGAACAGCAACTTGGGAGTTGAGAGGACTGTAAAGGGTTCCCTGCGGCCGGAGTCAAGGGTTCTGTGTTGGGGGTGGGGGGAGCCTGAGGTTACAGGGTTGGAGAAATAACAGGAGTTAGACGGAGGGTGCCAGGTGACTGGCTCAGGAGTCTGACTTTACCTGAGTGTACTCAGGTTTCTTGATGAATTTTAAGATGAAAAGAAAGTGATCAAATTCATATCCCCTGTACTGTTAGGAAGCTCGTTCTGGCAGCAGACTGCAGGGTGGATTGAAGGGGGAACTATTTGAGGCAGAGTACATGTAGGGGAGGAGGGGGAGGGAGAAAGGAGGAAGAAGAGGATGAGGAGCAGCTGACAGAGCCAAGCAATATTCTGAGTGTGTATCAATATAGATTCACTTAATCCACATAACAACCCCATGTAGGAGCTGCTCTCCCTATACCCACTTCACAGATAATGAAACTGAGACCCAGTGAGATTAAATCACTTGACCAAAGTCCAGGGCCAGGTAGGTGGATCCTAACTCACAAGGCCCAGTCTAGAACCCACAACTATTGCATGACCATCGCCTTAGGTGAGGTGAGAGAGAATAAAGTGTTGCCTAACACTGTCAGTGATGACCATGAGGAGGAAACAGTCAGGAGTGATGTTAATGAGGGGAAGAGTGAGGAGCAGGTATATTTCTGGTTTGGCAGACGACTGAACAAGGAACCACTCAGGAGAAAGATGTGTCAGGAAAGACAACAAGATCAGTTTTTTACATGTTGAATTTGCAACATCTGTGGGCTCTCAGGGAGATTTCAGGAGGTAATTGCATGTCATACTTTGGAATTAGGGGAGACTTTGATTGGGAGCAGTAGGTATGGGAGACCCTGGCAAGTACTGGATGGCATCTGAAGCCATGAAAACCAGTGGACTCACCAAGAGAGCAGGTAGAGTGAGAAGAGAAGAAAACAGAGGTAGAATCCTCAGGAACCTCAATATTTGAGGAATAAATTTAAAAATAGAGCAACAAGCTTTGCACAGTGGCAGTATCGTAGCCAATGAGGTTTATCCGAGGTGTGACTATTGCTAATTGAAAACTTTTCCCAATACCCCGCCGTGACAACTTGCAATACAGTCGGCACTGGCAATTTTTGACAGTCTCTACGGAGACTGATTTTGAAAAAAAAAAAAAAGAAAGAAAGAAAGAAAGAAAGAAAGAAATAGAGCAACAAACAAGACCAAGAGAGATCAAAGGAAATAGAGGAGAGTGGATCAGTGGGATTCAATGATATAGAGATTAAGTTAGACCTGGACAATAACTTTCCACCATAAATAAAGTTGAAAAGCATACAGCAGACAAGAAGAAAATGTCTTAACATGATTGACAAATATTCAAAACATAATATGCCCCAGTTATATAAAAAGCTCATATAAATCAATAACAAAATAATAATTCAAGGCTGGGAGTGATGGCTCATGCCTGTAATCCTCAGCACTTTGGGATGTCGAGGTTGGTGGCCAGGGGTCAAGACCAGCCTGGCCCACATGGCTTGAAAAGCTGTCTCTACTAAAATTACAAAGATTAGCCAGGAGGTGGTGAACACCTGTAGTCCCAGCTACTCAGGAGGCTGAGGTATGAGAATGGCTTGAACTTGGGAGGCAGAGGTTGCAGTGAGCCAAGATTGCACACCAGCCTAAGTAACAGAGTGAGACTCGGTCTCAAAAAAAAAAAAAAAAAAAAAAGTATATTTCTTGCCATGCACAGTGGCTCTTGCCTGAAATCCCAGCACTTTGAGAGGCAGAGGTGAGAGAATCGCTCGAGTCCAAAAAATAATAATAATAATAATAACAAAATAACAATCCAAAGTAAAAAGGAAACAGATAAGAATAATTAATTCAGCTGGGCACAGTGTCTCACATCTGTAATCTCAGATACACAGGAGGCTTAGATGGCAGGATCACTTGAGACAAGACATATACAAATATACGGTAGACATGTATTTTTTATTATGAAATGAAGGAAGGAAAACATGTTTGTATTTGCATAGGGAGAATTCTGGGAAAATGTACACACCAAGTTGTAGACAGTACTTACCTGAGGAAAAGACATGGGTGAAAAGAGGAATGGAAGGGAGACTTTCCAGCTGTGTTTTCCGTGCTTTTATTGCTTGCATTCTTTACAATATGAATGCTTTATTTTTGTCATATTCAAACAGTTTTGTGTATTTGTGCGTTTCTTTTATATTTCAATAGTTTTGGGGTACAGGCGGTTTTTTGTTACATGGATAAGTTCTTTAGAGGTGATTTCTGAGATTGTAATGCACCTGTCACCCAAGCAGTGTACATTATACCCAACATGCAGTCTTTCATCCCTCCCTGCCCTCCCAACATTCTTCCCTGCATCCGCAAAGTCTATTGTAACATTCTTGGGCCTTTGCATCCTCATAGCTTAACTCCCACTTATAACTGAGAACATACGATATTTTGTTTTCCATTCCTGAGTTACTTCACCTAGAATAATGGCCTCAGCTCCATCCAAGTTGCTGCAAAAGACATTATTTTGTTCCTTTTTTATGGCTGAGTAGTATTGTATGGTGCATATAAACCATGTTTTCTTTATCCACTCATTGGCTGATGGGCATTTAGGTTGGTTCCATATTTTTGCAATTGTGAATTGTGCTGCTATAAACCTGCGTGTGCCTGTGTCTTTTTCATATAATGACTTCTTTTCCCTTGGGTAGATA